TAATGTTTCGCCAGTTAAGTTAGTAATTATATGGTTAGGGTTCTTACACGTTCCATTGATTATTGCATGTTCACGTAGAAGGTTGTTAAATTTACGTCCATGGCGGTAAGATACCTTACGCATTTCCTTCTCCACAGTAGTCCTAACATGATGCTTAATTACTAAGGCACGTAACCATGTAGTAGAAAGAAGCATTAGGAAGTGAGACCAAGAAAGGTCAAGAAAAAAATGGATAATAAGAATAGCACTCGAATCAAGAGCAGTTTTGCTACAGATGTTCCAAGCATCACGAGAGAGTGCACCTATTGTAAAGGCAACATTCATATTGACCGATGCAAGCAGCTGTCAAATCTGCCATTCACAGAAAGACTTGCATTTGTAAGAACAAAAGGAATCTGCTATGGATGTCTGAAACAAGGGTATCTAAATAAAGATTATCGATCCAGGTCAATGTGTGATATTTGCAAGCTGCGTCACCCCACCAGCTTTCATGACCCAAGCAGACACAAATGATAACAACAAATAAAGGATAAAAAACCAGAAGAATGTTCCAACTTTGCGAAAAGTGTCAATACGAGGGCCGGTAGTGAAGGACAATGTACTATGGCGGTTGTCCCAGTGAACATCCAATTGAAAAACGGACTCTAGGTGCTACAAACATATGCCTTTCTAGATCCTGGGAGCAGTGTTTCCTTTATCAGTGATAGTCTGACAAGAAGACTAGAGGCAACAGGCCAAAAAAGGGGCAATCACCCTTGAAACTATGGGATTGCCTTTCTCTATGACCATATTAGATGTACAAGGGCAACAAATCTCTGGATTAGATGTGGCAAAAATAATCGACCTTCCTACAGTATATACTAAAGACAAAATTCCTATATCTCAACATCATATACCAACAACAGAAGATTTGGCCAGGTGGGAGCACTTTAAGGATATTAACTTGCCCCATATTGATGGAGAAATAGGTTTGCTGCTCGGTAATAACATACCCGACGCGTATACACCATTTGAGTTAAGAACTGGCAAGAACGGCAGCCCTCATGCTGCTAGAACCATGCTGGGGTGGATAGTTTAGAACCTTGTCAGAAGTGATAGCCAAGGAAAGAGAGACAGTGGTAGTTTCACTATGAATAGAGTAGAAGTTGCAGCTATACAAGAGATAGAAGATTTAAAGAGCCTTGATGCCTTAGTCAGAAATACCATCAACTTAGACTTTCCAGAAAGATTGAGTGATGACAAGAGATAATATTCCCAACAAGACAAGCAATTCTTGGAATTGGTAAATAAGTCTATAACTCAAAAGAACGGCCATTATTCTATTGGATTACCTTTCAAAGACAGTAAGGTAAAGTTGCCTGATAACAAAGAGATGGCTTTGAAACGTCTTAATAGTCTAAGGCGGAAACTCCAGAGCAATGTAAAGTTTGCTCAAGACTACAACATTTTCATGTCCAAGATACTGAATAATGGCTATGCTGAAAGAGTTCCACAGAAGGACTTGCAGAGAGGTGATGGAAGAGTGTGGTATGTTCCTCACCATGCTGTATACCACCCACGTAAACCTAAAAAAAGATCACTAAACCAAGTTCTTCTGCAAGGTCCAGACTTGAATAACAATCTGTTTGGAGTACTGCGATTTCGTGAGGAAGAAATTGCAATAATGGGAGATATTGAATCGAGGTTCTCACAAGTAAGAATCTCCAAGGAAGATTGTGATTGCCTAAGATTTTCATGGTGGCCTGATGGTAACATCTCACAGAAACCAGTGGAAAACCGAATGTTAGTACATCCCTTTGGGGCAGTTTCGTCACCAAGCTGTGCTAGTTTTGCCCTGAAAAGGACAGCAGATGATAAAGGTCATAACACAGGGCCAAGGTGATTAGAAATTCATTTTATGTGGACGACTGTCTTGTTTCTGCACCAACAGTAGAAAAAGCATCTTATCTGGTTGAGAGTACCACATCATTGTGCAGAGAGGGTGGATTCCGACTTACAAAGTGGGTATCCAATAACTATGAGGTGTTCGCAGTCAATACCAGTATCAGAAACGGCAAAGGATGTCCAAGAGTTGCAGTTAGAAAGACAGGAAATTCCAAGTGAAAGAGCCTTGGGTGTGTACTGGTTGGTGAAAGAAGATAAGCTTGGGTTTAAGATCAACGTACAGAGACGACCTGCAACAAGGCGTGGAACATTATCCATTTCTAGTTCGTTTTATGACCCCATTGGCATAGCTGCACTGTTTGTATTAAGAGCAAAGGTGCTTTTGCAAAGCCTTTGTCGACGTAATGTCGGCTGGGATGAGGAAATTCAGGGAGAAGAACAGAGACTTTGGAATCAGTGGCTAGATGAAGTAGAGGCACTTGATAACATCAAAATCGATAGATGTTATAAGCCACCAGGGTTCGGCGATGTTGACAACTGCCAGCTTCATATTTTTGCTGATGCGAGTGATTCGGGATACGGTGTTGCCGCATATGTACGTTTTGTTAATAAAGAAGAACATATTAGCTGTTCACCGTAATGGGCAAGGCTAGAGTGGCCCCATTAAAGAAAATGACAATTCAGAGAATGGAATTGACTGCTGCGACAATTGCCGTAAAACTTGGTAAAATGATAGTGAAGGAGCTGGATTACAAGCTAGATGACATCTGTTATTGGACAGACAGCATGACGGTACTAAAGTATTTAAGAAATGATACTTCAAGATTCCAGACCTTTGTGGCAAACCGCATAGCTGTTATCAGAGATGGTTTAAGTTTGAAGCAGTGGAAATATGTGAACAATAAAGAAAACCCAACAGATTGTTCTTCACGTGGTTTACCTGTGAAGAAGTTCCTTCAATGCAAACTTTGGTTCGAAGGACCTTCTTTCTTATCCCGACCAGAGTCAGAATGGCTTCAGCAAATGGATAACCCAGGCACCTTGGCAGAAGATGACCCTGAGGCAAAGTGCAGTGTCAATGTCATCTCTACAGTTGAGAAATATGAAAGCTTGATTGACAAAGCACTAGAGTATTATTCTGATTGGTATAGGCTCAAGAAAGCCATTGCGTGGTTGTTAAATGGAATCAAGAATTTAAAATCACCTGTGGAAGCACGTAAAACGTTGATAACAAAGTTAGAAAGTCAAGAGTCAGAGCCAGTAGTACATTCTCATATGTTTGAAGTAGAACAAGAGCGTTTGGCTAAGGTCAGAAGAAGATATAAGTTAAAGCAGCTAACTGCTGATGATCTTTGGAGAGCAGAAAGGGCCTTAGTTCAGTACGTGCAAAGACAACACTGGGAAGAGGAGTTAAAGGTCTGTAGAAATCAGGCAAATGGCTCACACGAAATGAAGAAATCGTCAACATTAAGGAAGCTTGACCCTATTTTAGTAGATGAGGTGCTTCGTGTTGGTGGTCGGCTTCTACCGAAGTCGTCACTCATTTCACGTCTAATTCTTAAAGATGTCCATCAATCCTGGCAAAGCTCCGTCTTAGCTATTGGATTATCGGAGCACCTGCACTCATCAAGAGTATTACCTCGGGGTGTGTCACCTGTAGGAGATATCAGGCACCAGTGGTGGAACAGAAGATGGCCAATCTGCCATCTGAACGACTGTGTGCAGAAGAGCCTCCATTCAGTAATGTTGGAATGGATTATTTTCGCCCTTTCGAAGTGAAACGACCTAGAAGCCTTATTAAAAGGTACAGCGTTATATTTATCTGCATGACCAGTAGAGCAGTTCATTTGGAGCTAGCTCACTCACTCGAAACAAATTCCTGCATTAATCCGATTTGTAGGTTTATTGCCAGACGAGGAGGTAGAGGCAATTATGAATGGACGACCATTAACAGAATGCCCAAATACACCAAACGACCTAGAGGTATTGACACCAAACCATTTGCTGCTTTTGAGGTCAGGAGAAAGCCTCCCTCCTGGTCTTTTCGACAAGGGTGATAATTTCCACACAAAACGATGGCGACAGGTTCAATACTTAGCTAATATTTTTTGGAAGAGGTGGGTACGGGAATATCTTCCGCATCATCAGAAGAGGCAGAAGTGGCTTAAGTCAAGACGGAACCTAGCTGTGGGAGACATTGTACTAATCATGGATTCTACACCAAGGAACTCATTGGCATTTGGCAGAATCACTGCAGTTCACAAAGACAAAGGAGGTCTAGTAAGAAATCTGGAGTTGAAGACAAAAGCTTCTATCTTAAACCGACCAGTAGCCAAGTTATGTCTACTTGTTCAGAACAGCAACAATTCTAATGTGAATTAACCTATAGGTTGCTCATTTAATTGGCTAAGATAGTTGAGTTGCTTATTAGTATTTATGCAAATGATAAATACGTTTCGTTTTATGACATTAATGTATGTGTTTTAGATTGTGAAAGGTATTAACTATAGTTATACTTGAATGATACTGAAGCTTATCGAGCTTTTGAAGTATAAATGTGTAAAGTTAACTATACTATTTAAAGATTAATATCCTAAGAAATTCTGTGCTGATAGAAAGTAGCATTTAAATAGCTCACTTCGGTGGTATTTATTTTTTGAATTTTTGTGTTATAAAATTTAAAGTTTGGCCTACAGTGTTAATATGAAAGAGAGTAATAGTTCATTTTGCCAGATTCACTATTAGAGGGCTGGTATGTTACGGCCAAACGTATCGTTTTATTTAATTGTTGGATAATAGAATGAACCGCTAGGTGGCGGTAGTCAGGTTGCGGCAGTCAGCCATGGTAACATCAAGTAGTTACCATGGCTATCGTAGTACTGAACTGTATTTCATTAGGTGATATATATATATATAGGTTCAACTGAGTTACACAGGATTTATGTTTTACAAACCCATGATGATTAGAATCAAGTAAACTGTTACCATACAAAAACGAAACGAAATATTAGACCGAATGGCTTCACTTTACAACGAATGATTTCACAACTTGTCAAACGACTTCACAACACATTGGATCAGTTTACTTCGCTGTGGTTTATTTATCACTACAGTGGATCATTTTAATCCATGTTCGAACACTAAAGTATTCATTGACATTTTATTAGATTGCTTAAAAAACGTTTGTTCGATTATGCATAAATGTTTTGATTTTAAACTGAGTGGTTTAGCTTTTGATTAGATGATTTTCTTTCTGCTTGGATGATTTAGTGTTTCATTGCGTGACTTGTTTTTGAATTAAATGATTTGGACAACATACATTTGGATTTGGGATGAATATTTTTGCTTTATAATAGATGAATTCGTTTTTGAATGAATGCTTTGGTTTTGGTTAGATGAGATGGTTTTCCTTTGAATGGTTTGTTCAACTTACGTTTGATTTTGTATTGGATGGTTTGGGTTTAGCTTGTATGGGTTGGCTAATGTATTTTTGGCGGATTTGGCTTTCCATAGGTTACGATACATTTTAAGCTATTTAACAAGTGTCTACAATGAGTTTAGGCCTACCTAATAACCCCTAATAAATAAATCATCTTCGTATCTCGAAGAGTTGTGCAGTGCTTGTGTCTAATTTATAGCTACACTAAAGTTAAAACAAATGAAAATATATCGACGTATACATTTTAAAACATAACATAAATTTCTCTTACTCATGATCGCATATTATTAAGATTTACAAACGTGGGATAAAAACATCTGCAGTTCTTGATAAATGACTTCCATCGGCATGTGTACGTTATTAGGAAGTGGATATGCTAAATTCATATCCCATACGTCGATAATATGTATGCCTAAACCGGAAAATATCTTCAAGAAAAACTCTCGGATATCATAAAGCAATCTGTCACCAGCATATAGAAGCGAAGTGACAGTGTTGTGATTTCGAGGTTTTGGAGTTTTGACGACAAACATTGTATTAGGACAACGCTCCCTTAATCTCAAAATTGTGTCCCGTAAGAGATATAGTCTTTCAATGTAATTTTCCTTCACCCATTGACTGTAATCAGCCCAAGGACTAGTAACAATTATGTAATTACAAGTGCTGGAACTGAGGTTGTCCATGACTTCATACTCCCATCTTCCAATGCGATAAGGACAGCTTTTACTACTTATTGTATATGGATAGAAATAATAAGTCAAATTAAGTACATCACTATTGTGATATGTTAATTTTGCATTAGGACTTTTGGTAAAACTACTACTACTGAGGCCGAGAAGTGCTAATAGGCCTGCATTCCACTGTCTTGTCGTCGAATCCCCCATGAAGTAGACATGCTTTCCCTTCAGGCACTGCTTAATCTCTTCCTTCGACCATTGCTTTGATTTACATTGTAGGGAAGTCCAAATGCTTTTTATCCAAAACCCATCACTGGGTGGAGTTGGTAAATCTGCTTTGCAATCAGGTAACATCAGTTCATTCGCAACATCTGAAGGCGACCCTGTTAAAAAATAGACAATAATACTACTTTAAAGCATACATTTTATTTAAAGAAGAAAACATATTTTCGGTAGCACCTGCTTCTCTCTTTAAGGTTACAATGGAACTTGCTTACAATTGGACACATTGTTTTCTTTCTTTTCTATATTAAAAAAATTATACTTTAAAATAGTGAAATTCTAAAGAATGTTATTTCCTTTTTGTCTACTTATTTTATACATACATACATGTAGGAATATAATAATATGTATAAGCTTAAATATTATAAAGCATGATATTCATGACACTTAAATACAGTTTAGAAATCGAGAAATATTATAAATGAACTCTGCTCTGCTCTGAAGTAAGTGTAGACATCGGATATCTTTGGCTTAAACTGTAATAAAGTGAGTTCAACCCTGTCCATCAGGCGCAAGCTCGGTGTTTTAGAGGTATGATGCCAAGCTAGTGGTCTGGAGATCATGGGTTCGAGTCCCACCCGAACAACTTGCGATTTTTATCGCAATTGTTTTCAAACGTATTAAGTATTCAGTACATTGCCACGTCAGGTAGGGCAAAATTACAACTATGCATGTTTCTCCTGACGCAAATCCAGTTACTGTCTATTCCATCACGACAATAACAATTACTATCAACACTGCAGTAACCGCTGCTTGGACTCGAATTTTAACCCTGGCCATCAGGCGCAAGCTTGGTTGTCTAGAGGTATAATGCTAGGCTATTGATCTGAAGATCGTGGGTTCGAGTCCCACCCGGGAACAACTTGCGATTTTTTTTCGCAATTGTTTTCAAACGTACTCAGCATTCAGTACATTGCCACGTCAGGTACGGCAAAATTACACCTATACATGTTTCTCCTGACGCAAATCCAGTTATTGTGTATTCCATCACGACAATAACAATTACTACGAAAGTGAGTTAACATAATTAAGTCGTGAGATGACAAGATACCTGATTATATGGTGACTAGTAGATTCATCGATATATTTGTAGATGTGTGATATATCTCTAAGGTAATAATTAACAGACTGGCAGGTGGAGATGTCATAGTCAGTCTGTTGTCAAAGATTTCTTACTTTCTGAGATGTTCTAATTTAGAAATTACTCAATTTCACTGTATTTCTAATGTTATACAATGACAACAAAAATATTGAATGAATGAGGTTAAATTACTCAACGTTTGATAATTTACTCAAATGAGCACAACTCGCCGCAATTGAATAACTCTTGTTATAATAATAAACGTATATATATATATATATATATATATATATTTTAGTAAACAGAAAAACCAAAAAGTAAAATGAGAATGATTGATTGATTAAATTTATTCAGTAAAAGAATATACAAGCAAAGTATAAAAAATTACTAGGATGAAGCACATAAAAGCGCACAAGGCACTTATTTCCAATGTGGTCCTTAAAAAGTTAGCATATATAATAGATATAAAAATTTAAAGAGATTAAATTATTTACTCATCTAAAACAAGCCTATTGAATAAAAGTTTTCTCACATACTTTTTAAACTGCTTAACGAATGACATTGCTTAACATTTGAATATAGCCTGTTTCAATTACTTATACCAGTGTATAAAAAGGAACTAAGACCACAGTTATTCACACGAGGGATTACACATAAGTTGCTAGCCCTAGTGTTATAACTATGGTGATCACGAACTTTTACGACATGTTGTCTCATGTAATCTGGTGCAATGTATGATTTCATACATAATGATTTAATTTTAGTTATTCAACACAATGTTCAAAGATGTGTATAAGAGACAGTCTCAGGGGCGTAGTGGAGGGGTATACCCTAAAAAAAATCAAAATATATTTTAAGTTTTTCCTGTATCTACAGAATAGCGAAAACAGCGACATTTAGTATTATTACGTAGACTTTAAAATATAAGTCACCTAGTTGGCACTTCATAGAAAGGTTATTAGAATGGCGCCCTCAATTAGACAAAATAAGAAGGTACGCGTACCGCAAGAAATCCTGTTACCTGTGTTAATCATTGTGAAGATATGCTGCAGGGTATTAGTAAGTGCTAAAAGTATGAGACGTTGATAACGTTATAAATTCAAATACTTAATGTAGGCCTACTGAGGCATGATTAAGATAGGACCTCCAGTGCAGTACGGTGGCCTAATCGGTAAGCAATGAATTTCTGTTGTATATAATTCATTATAAAATTAATCAGTTAGATTTGAATATTGGCGTATTGGCATTCAGATTATGAATTAAAGCAAGGAGCCTAGGTAGGCTAGGGGCCAGGTTAAGCCAGGGGCCTGAGCTAGGCCAGAAGCCTGGTAAGGCCAGGGCCTACTTAGGCCATGGGCAATGGCTATAAGGTAAACCTACGTGCACAACGAATACTAGCTTAGGCCAGGGTTTGGGAGATGTGGGCAGTTGGACTATTTTAAAATACAGCATAGTTTCTATTGTTTTTACTTTCTTTATTTGATAAACAGGCTTAGGCTAAGCTTTACAATAGCGGATCCTTTTTGCTGGAGGGGAGAGGGTGGGGTGGGGTGTAAAAAGACTATCAGCAGTCAAATAATCAGTACACAGTAGAGTGCCATGAATCATTTAGCTAAGAGATATACATCGTGGGAACTCCTTCACATGCCTGGAAACACATGCAACTGCCCCTGTTCTGTAGTGATAGGGACTGTCTAGTGACTAAATGACATAACCGGGGTGTAACGCCTCACAACCCCTACCTCCTCCGGCTACGAAAACTAATACCTCCTAATTTCGTCTCCGCCACGCCTCTTATATATATTTGTGTATATATATAAATATATATATATATATATATATAAATTTAATGAATGAAGAATCAAATATTTAACATTTATAACATTTATATAGGAAGATATATTATCAACAATAACAAAATGACTAGTTGCAGCATATACTTACTTGTTAAAGAGAGCATTATTTTTAGATAACAACTCCGAAAATTTTTTTTCGACATGATTAGCAACGGATTTGAGTGAAATTAGTGTGTTACATGACAGCCTTTTTGGTTTGTCACAAAGAAACACAGTTTGTCCCAACGCTAATGGATAGCTATGCACGCATTGATTAAGATGCTCGGACTGCTTTCCAAATCTACATGTTTTAGTCTCATATTGTTTATTAGCAGAAAATGTTCCACTCCAGATTATTCTATCTTTCATGGGCCAAAGTTTTTCTTCAATAAAATTAGTAGTTTCTGATGGATGTACCAATATAATTTCAATTGTGGCTTTACCAGTCCATCCAGCAAAAAATATTACTTCGTAAGTTCCATTCTTGAAGTCGATTATCTTTCCTGCCGCATTACCTTTGCGACTTCTAATTGCTCCAAACCAGAAATCGCCTCCTCTTTTACTATGTTGGCCCATGCTACTACGGGCTTCGATAATTACACTAAAATAGTCGCCAACTATGACAGGCTGCTGGGCATTTTTTAGAAAAAACGTTGTTTCTTTAGCACTTATCATTCCAACAGTTCCAAACTTTAAAAAAAAAAAAAATAATGATAGTTATAACAACAATAATAACAATAAATACACAAAAAAATATAACATTTATATATGTAATCTCGTACACCAGGAATGAATTCAGAATAAACAATGAGAAAAATAAAAGCATCCATGTGGATGAAGAAAAAAATACTCCAAAGTGATATACGAAATGGTATATCATCTTGTGCTCTAGACAAGAGGGGTAGAGTTGAGGCAGGAAAGCTTTTGTTGCCATCCTAAGTGGCGCACACTAGCAATTTCCAGGCAGTAGAAGCACATGTATGATTGATTTGATTGAATTTATTCAGTAAAATAATATAAAAGAAAAGTGTAAAACATTACTAGGATGAAGCACATAAAAGCGCACAAGGCACTTATTTCCAATGTGGTCCTTAAAAAGTTAGCATATATAATAGATATAAAAATTTAAAGAGATATTAAATTATTTACTCATCTAAAACAAGCCAATTGAATAAAAGTTTTCTCACATACTTTTTAAACTGCTTAACGAATGACATTGCTTAACATTTGAATATAGCCTGTTTCAATTACTTATACCAGTGTATAAAAAGGAACTAAGACCACAGTTATTCAAACGAGGGATTACACATAAGTTGCTAGCCCTAGTGTTATAACTATGGTGATCACGAACTTTTACGACATGTTGTCTCATGTAATCTGGTGCAATGTATGATTTCATACATAATGATTTAATTTTAGTTAGTTCGTTCAAGTAACTGGTTGAAGACAATCCTCTCAAGAACCTTCGATACAATATTCAAAATTGATATGAGTCTGTAATTAGTAGCATCGGCTCTTATAATAATGCAACAACTTTCGCCATTTTTAAATCATCAGGGTAATCACCAGAGGTAATTGACATGTTAATTATATGAGCTAGGGCTGTTGATATTACAGGAGAAGCATCCTTAATAAATCTAGCTGGAATGTTATCTAAGCCAGTTGCCTTATTATTGCTTAGACCATGTAGAATCTTAATAACCTCTTAATAATTTTCTCTAGAATTCTTTTATCAGTGGGGTAGCCCAAACTGACCCGTAGCAGCAGGTAATTTAGATACCAGAGAGGATGCAATTGAGGTAAAAAAATCATTAAACTGATCAGAAACTTTCGATTTATCAAAGCATACTACATCGTTAATAACAAGTCCATTATTGTTAGGTTTAGCTTTAAGTTGTTTTAACGTCCTGACTTCCTTTATAATTTTCCAGAGGGTTTTTTGTGATTTTTTTTATTTTCTTTTACTGCGATTTGGCTCTACCTTTCTTATACTTAACCTGATTTCTAAAATATATGAATTGATCATAATGTGCAGGATTCATAATTTTCTTGAATTTACTAATCTCTTTGCCTAATTAAATTTGAAATTTCATGGTACAGTTTTTTTTTTAACTGGGGCAATTTTATACAACACTTTGAAAATTTAGTTTTAAAAATCGTCCATGCATCAGTGACATTGTTACAGTCGAACACATCCGACCAGTCTATTTCATTAAGAACAGGTCTTTACAGTATGTTCGAATCCTAACTATGTTATGTTTATTGAAAGTTTTTTTTGTTATCTTTCTGGTACAGTAAATTAACATGTGGTCACTTATACCAATATTTATTACCCCTGACTGACTGGTTTTATCTTGCTCAGACGAAAAACACTAATCGATAGTACTAGTAGCACAGATTCTAGTTGGATTCACAATCAATTGCTTAAGATCAAATACACTTTGGAAGTGACAAAATCATTTAAAAGAGTATTCTTTTTATTTAGAACATTGGTATTAAAATCTCCTAAAATTATACATTCCTGTTATTCAATAGCATTACTGTCATTACAAACCTGTTCTAACAACTTCTAAAAATCATATTGTTTGGGAGGTCATATATAGCATATTCCGATCAGAATACGACGGGTACTTGGTAGAAGTACATCTGCCCATATTGATTCTAAGCCATCACAGGTAAGGTCTTGCCGTTAGTTAAGTGCAATTTCCTCTTATATATATATACACACCCCGCCACCTGATCTCTTACGATCTTTTCTTATAAGCAAGTACCCTGGGATCTCAATCCCTGCATCTTGAATCGATTCGATTATACAAAATAAAAGTTTATTTGAGAGTTGCGTTACAACATTGTGAGCTGTGTTTGTATTTTATATGTCAAAGAGGGAGTCCTAGTCATTTATTTACTGCTTAGAAATACGTTAAGTAGGAATTCATGAGAGTCCGTAGACCCAGTCTTTTCTGTATTGCTATTAGACGGATGTGTTTTGGAGTCCACCTCATTAAAGGGTAAATGATTTAATGCACATTTACGGCATTGAAATGGAAAATCATCACCAGAATTGACAAGCTCATAATACTTCCATCTTGGTATATACTCGCACTTAGCGTGGGTCCAGTTTTCACACTGATCGCACGAAATCGCGCGTCTGGAATTAATACGGTAGGCATCAACATCCATATTGTTATCCAAATTATGATAGAGGCATTGTACTTGTACTCACGGAACACAATACAGAATGTAAAAGAAAAGTGCGAACACCATAACGGTACGATCCAGACCAGCCGCAATTTCGTCAGCTTTGGCATATCAAAAATGTATATCAAACATAAATACGCTTCCTAAATCCTAATGAGTTCTTAGAAGCAACAATAAAACATCAAGCATTCAATACAGAACGTCACTTGTAATTTCCAACATTTAGGCTCTAGGATTGGAGATTCGGTTTCGTTTGGCGGGCTATCTGACTGCAAGCCTTTGAATGTACGCTGGTATGCACAATAAAACAACAGCCTACAGATGCACGTTTGCACTCAACGGCAACGAATCAACTGAATTTCATCTGAATTATATTGTTATATAATAACAGATACTTAAACACATTCTACGCAACTGGGTATGCGTTTGTAGTGGCTTTACTGGAAACTATTCACAACAATAATAATGATTAAGTGGTTGTTACGAGGCAGTGATCAGAATGGTATAGGTAGTGACGTGAATACTGGAGAGAAATGGAAACGAGAGGGAAAATATACACAGATGAATGCCTTTATAGAACAACGAGGCTGCAAATAACACATGACTTAATAGACAGAAAGTGAAAGATTTTGATAACAGAATGATACTGAATCCATTTGTAGGACTAACAAATGAGATTTGTACACCGAGCATTGACCTAAAAAAAACAATTTCATTCTAAATTTAATGTGATGGTTACCCCAGAAGCAGATCCAGAATTTTAAAACGAGGGGAAACCCATCTATCAGTGTACTGCAAAGTGAAGGGTGACACTAGTATGGGATATCTTTGGAGTTGATTTTACTCTACTACATATCCAAAATATTTGGGTTTTTTTATTACTAAGAAGGAAACCGATTCAGCCACACCTCTTCAATTGTATTATGTTTTGTGTCCACGTTCCAAATTAATGATGAAAGTAATTGTTTGGCGATAACGGGAACACAAGAGTGGCCGGATGGGCAGTGCTACGAAAAGATGTAACACTGCGCATAACCCCAAAATTGGAACAGGGGTGACATAATGCAAGGTTGGCGACCAAAAACTGCCTATCTGACACATAAATAACTATGGGAAGGGTGGGTGGGTAAGTTTTTATTTAAAAAAAAAAAAGAAGATTACAACCTGTAACAACAATTGAGGAAGTAGTACGCCAGAAATACGGATTTGATTAGACAAAATTGCAACAAAACGTTTTATGATCTAAATATAAACTTAATTATAAGTAAAACAATTACCAAAAGTTTACCACAAATTACCAGAATAGGACTTATATAAAGGTGTTTTTTATAACCAAAAGTTTAGCACTATTTTACACGATTCGTACTGCGGTTTTCAAAATTTTCTTTAATATGATTGGTCAACAGTTAGACGTCAACGTATGTCATATCTGTTTGTTGCCGGAAGAGTGGGACCCGGGTGCGAGCATCGCGATATTTTGCGGGCGAATCAAAGGAGCATTACTCCCGGTTTGCAGGAATTACAGAGTTATAAATATTGGACAATAACTGGAATCATGCCAGAGCAGTTCCATGTATGACCGAGACAAATGTTAATGTAAAGTCTAGGCCTAAGACATTGTATAACATTTTATTTTTTAGTCCCTAGCCTAGGCATCCCTCTCTTGCTTCCCGGTTCAGTCACGCACACCTTCCCGCATTGCAACGTTTTCTCGGCCAACCCAAGCATGAACGTATATAGAAAATCTTAATAATGTAGGCCTAGGACTATTTTGAATGTCTCATCAGTGAGCGTTTAAGAGTAGAATAGAATTATAAATGCATAGGCCTACTGATGTAGAACTACTAGTTTATTTATCGTCGAAGTAGTGTATATAGTTACTATATATAGGACAAATACAAATAAGCCCCAATATTAATAAATTCTTAATGGTAGTAAAATATTTTGTGCTAAAAACATTTTTGGTTAAATTATCATTGTAGTTTACAAATAATATACATAGGCCTATTCAGCTTCTAGGTGAAATGAAATGCATCTTCACACCTAAAAAAAAAATGTCACTTGGTAAAAATATTAATGTCATTGTTAATTTTTATTTTATTATTATTATTTAAAATTATAAACATCAGATACATTGTATAGCTCAAATCACATAGACCTAGACTCGAAAAAATTATTTATTTTATTTCAACAATCTTTAATGAGGGTGATTCATCTAGCCGAATTTGATCCTTAGCGCCCACAACACACACAGTAAAACAAGACAAAAGAGAGTGTGAAATTAATTAATCCGACGGTCGGTAACCTTTTTTACTCCTTAGGACCAGAATTGTTTTCCATAGCTTCCCACGACCCAAGACCTCCAGATAATATCATATAAATGCCATCGAAGATACAAAATATACGACCAATGTTACACAGTAGAACCCTACTTTTGGGCACCGCTTTTTGTAAAATGAGGAGAATTATATCTTTCAACACTACGACTAACCCCTATTAACTGGACGGGAACACGCTCTTTGTGCGCCAAATGGTCAAATCCATAGGTAGCCTTCCAGTTGTCCGAAATCCAGTTTGTCGAAAACCAGTTTGCCGAATTTAACCCACTTTGCCGAAAAACCAGTTTGCCGAATCTAGTTCACTGATAACATGAAATCCCAGTTGGCCGAAACCCGGTTTGCCGAACCCAGTTTGCCGAATTTGAATTTTGTCGTCACCGTCGTACAAAAGCGCAGCACGCTACTATTACATAAAATGTAATAAACAGCAATTATGTAGGCGAGATCGAATGTAAACTCAGACTAAACTATTTTGAACTAAACGTAATAACAGTAATTATTGTAGGCAAAACCGAATGTAAACTCAGGCTTAACAACCACAAAAAAAAATAGTTAAGACCATCAAAACGGCTTCATGTTGCTCACCACTTTAATTTACCGAGCCATACTATCAGTGATTTAGGCTTTATAATCTTAGGCACCAATTTCAAATCTACTGTACTAAGGCTAGAGGACTGGGCGGATACCCTCTGGACACCTTCAAGCCTTAGTAGATCTGAAATTGGTGCCTAAGATTAACTAGCCTAAAGCACTGATAGCATGGCTCTTTAATTTGAAATAGTGAACTATAGGGAAGCCTTTTGAACCCCTCTAAAATACATGCTTCACTATTCCAGCCTAAAAATACATTCTTCATATAATGTTTTGAGGCATCTACTGATTGATGACCACCTGATGAAGAGCAATGCCCGACCTTTTTAAAATTCCAAAAAACAAACAATAATTAGGAAAAAATAATATATTCAAGTTGTTGTCTGAGAGTTCAATTTCCGGCCTTCTATAGGTGCAATAATCATAATTTTTCTTAGCTCCACTTCAGCCGTACGTGGTTGGGACTGAGGTGAAAAAAACTTAGGAAAATAGTACTTAGATGGGAAAAGACACTTTTATATGCAGTAGTAAAATTCATTATCATCAAATTTCTCATGATCTTTTATTAGCGATTTTCGGCAACCATAGAGATCTAATTAATATATGTGATGTAAAATTAATCATCATTGATCTATTATTAATCGCTGCAATAGAAAAATAAAACATAATTGTCTTTGATTTATGAACTTTACCTACTTCATGAGCCGAAAACCAATTTATCTTTACACGTTTTTTCTCATACTTTTCAAATTATAATAAAAGCTTCTATAGTTAATTCAGATGTTTGTGGATATCTTGTTTAAAATAAGATGTTCTCTGCCTGTACAGTGGTCTTTCGTTAAAATCTGGTCATTTCAATTCAACAATTTCCAGGTATATTCTTGACTTCCTTGCTGACAAAAAGTGAGGGGACCACCGCCTTAAAATAGTTGGGGTACGTGTCCCCTGTGACCTTCTATCCATACTTCACCAGATGACAATGCATTATACTGTAATTCGACATCGAATCCTGAACTTACGTCATTTTTTTTATGAAGAGTAGAATAGTAAGCCTATTTCAAATCAACCAATTATCAGTCATTATTATACTTTTTAAAATGTCAGCAATTATTTTACACTATTTGCCAATAAATGTGTTTGATTGTATTAGCTATAAAAAGTTAATTCGTGTTTTTAGGTAAGAAAACATGTTAATAGCCCTATTCCTATAGGGCCAATTGATAAAAGATCACTATCTAACAATTTCAGGTTTACTTCCGAGTTTACATTATGGGACGTGACGTACGTACGAACTTGCGTACGTACGTGTTGCGTAAAAGGATACGCGCAGACTGTTTTGAAGGTATGTTAACCAATCAAAAGCGTCAGCGGCAAATCAAATTAAAGCGCTTCGTAACCAAGACACAGCACACAAACCGTCAGCCCAGTGAAATACTTCAATTTTCTTTGCTATAAAAATCACCTTTCCCGTAGATGTATTTTGGTAAACTTTTTGTATGTTGTAGAGATAAAATTATTGAAAATAGATATATTTATTTTTTTTTTAATGTTTTGTTGCAATTATATCCGATTTTGGTGCTTAAAATCCGTATTTCTGGTGGACTAAAGAAGTGTGGTTGGCGCATCGGTTGTGTCTTGGACTCCCAACTTGAGGTCGGGGGTTCGAAACTCTCGCTGTGCAAGTCGCTTGTGTCCTTGGGCAAGGCACTTTGTATACGGTTGCCTCTCTCCACCCAGGAGTACAAGTGGGTACCTGGTAGGTTCCAACACTGCGCTGATTACTAGCCGCAATTTTATGGAGATATAATTTAATTTAATAATTTCATTTAGTGTTCAATGTGATCCATATGTGTTTTATCCAATGACCGGGGTAATAATGTGAAGCGCTTAGAGGCTTTGTTAAGGCATTAAGCGCTATACAAGAACGACATATTATTATTATTACCAAAATTAAACGCCGCTAACTACCAATTCGAACAAATGAATGCACGCCCGCACAAAGCGCACCAGGCACGTTCACTAGGGTCAGGTTCACACGAGAGCCCTAGTATCCGGATCTGGCCCGGGATTTATCAATTTCAACTTAGCAAATGTCTTAAGTCAAAAAATATAATATGTCCCTAAGCAAATATTATATTTAAGATGATTTATCAAACCATATTAGCAAAATCTTAATATTAAAGTCGTCTTGGATGGCGCATACATACAATCGACTTTTTCATTTTAAGCAATTTTAAAGCTAAGCCATATTGATAAATCGGACTTGACAAAAAAATGGACTTAAGACGAATTTAAGCTGACTTCTAGTTTGATAAATCCGGCCCCTGGAGCTAACCGTCAGCACCTGTGTGAGAACGCCCCATCAGTTAGCGCTAACCGTTACCAGGATGATGCGGATAAGCTAACGGTGTTAGCGAGCGCTATCAGTTAGCAAGTTAAGCAAGTTTCTATCATCAACCAATCACACGTACGCGTTTCCAATTTCCAGTTTCCTCTTGGCTAGTGATTTGATCATCATATCTTCTTGGTATCCGGATCGGAATTTTCTCGTATGAACGCACGACAGCTAAAAGTTTGCAGGATCCTGATTCTGCTACCCGTTAGCAGCTGTGTGTGAACTTAGCCACTAAGCTCGACTGAATAGAACCAAAAAAAATTACCTCTGGCCTCAAAAAATAGTTTGTTATTACAAACTTCCGTGTTCTGTTAAAAAGCCTACATTCTTCCTTTTAGCTTATTGAGAAGGTTTGAGCAGTAGCTTTATACATAAGGACAGTACACTATTTTTATTTCAAGATCGGTCTGCTATTCTTGGTTGGGATTGTCAGTAGTTGATTTCATTCAATGACAAAAAACCAAGTTAATGGCTTTGTGACGATCAAAAATCAAGGAGTTTGGATTTCTCCATGTGTATTTACAACTCGAAAGCAATATTAAATGTCGATTGTAAACTTAGATCGGTCATGGTTTGGTTTAGTATTGCTTTTGCTAACAACCTCTAAAGACTCTCCCGTTGTTCGTATCAGAGTAATCATTAGAGAGGTTTCGCCCGTCGTCACGGCACCAGGTGGCGCTTTCTGTTGTCAACAGACGTTGGTTACCGTTCATTACGCCTGAATGACTTCATATGCTTTCTGGAATAGGCATTTAAAATCTAATATTTTACCATCAAAATGTACTAAAAACACAAAGCTCGCATTATATTAGTTATCGAACACACATTTCATCATCAATTAAAATTTACAAAGAAAAAGTAAGATCCTAATAATTACGTTAAAAATTGGGATCAATGGATTGTCAGTAGAGAAATGGCGTCCGGTTGAACTCATTTTGCAACGAAAGCAACGGAGTAGTATCAAGTGGTGTCGTGACGTAACACTGTATTACTCTATTCTGTGCTTTTTTTCAATCACAGCGCAATTCAAGCGTACCCTGGACCTAGGGCCTTAGCTTAGGCCTACTAGTAGTACTATATTCTGTCCTCTCGTCATGCTTTTCAAAGTTTTATTATATGTAAGGCTTTGGAAATTTGAAATTGTTGCTGAAAAATACTTTGTTGCCCAGAAGTGTTGGATATAAAAGTACCTGGCAACAAGTAAGCCTAGGCCTACACACAATCCCGACACCACCAAGGTCAAAGCACCGACGTTTTGATACCCAAAATAAGACGCATTCTATCGTAATTTGCTGTCTTGAAATGTCACAAAAATTTCGCGTACGTATTCAATGATACATTTTTTTACACTTACGTAAAACGTGAAAAAATTTTCGAAAATCCTACTAGAAATCCTAAATTTCCCTACACGTTTTTCACTTACGTGAAATGAGCGAGATACTATGCGTGTCGTCCACACGTGTAGCGGATAGTACCCGGCGTATGCCGTCAAAACTAACCGTACGCGTTCGTGAACGAAACTCCCCAAAACTCCATGTTAACAACAAATTTACATGCAGATATAAGAGTAATAAAGCATTGATAGAAGTATTTAAAATTGATACTCATTTATCTAATATAAAACACAATTGATGGCATACTGCACCTGTACCTTCGGGATTGGAATCGTTTGTCTGGCTGACTCATGTACAAATACCACCGTTAGTAAACTGTATATGAGCTGAAATATTTAAAAAAGTGTCCAACATATTGATGTTAGTAGTAAGTAGAGATTCTTAAAATAAAAATAGATGAGATTTTAAATGGGATTTAACCAAATGCTACTGCTATGATCGTTGTCAGTATCAAAACAATCATTTTCATGTTTGAAATTAATAGATAATGCAAAAATTCTTTCTTACAAAAGCGATGCATAAAATAAAAAACAGAAAAATACAAAGCTTCCTCAACATGATGTCAGCAGATGACTGGCTATTGTAAATCCAAATATTGTTTGATGTCCGATTCCTATATAGTCTATATCTGATGTGAATTGCTCTTCCAATTAAGCTATAAAAAATATCAAATAAAATATTTGAATGAAGACAAACACACACATATTATATATAAT